CTCTGAAACCCTAAAAAGCTGCTTGTTCTCTGTCACTGTGGACCAGGGTGGGGAGACTGTGGGCCTCCAGATATTGTTGGACTGAGACTCCCATCTGTCCCAGACAGCATGATCAATTGTTTAGGGTGATGGAAGTCCAGCAACATCTGGAAGGCCACAAGATCCTTACCTATGGTGCTCCTAAAATTGAGCTACATAGATAGACCAATGGTGTCAGACAGGTGTCAAACATGCACACCTGGGTGTGGTGTCCTTGGATAACTTAAAGCTAGCTTTCCATACTTCTGAGCATATAGTCCTTGCGTCACTGAATGGAAAAAGCGAATGAACAACTTCAATTACGAAAATGCCTTGTTTGTCCTTTTGCTCTCTCAAACAGCGTATATGTGAAAATTTGCTACAAAATGTAATTAGCAAATTATCTGGGCACAGTGCAAGTCAATCATAATTGCTTTAAGAGGCTGACTGTAGCAAAGCTGGATGGGTGGTTGAGCTGTTTCATTTTCTGCTGGGGTTTACTAAAGTTCATTACAATGACTCCAACAGCCACTCTGAAATTCACTATGTGCTTCTTGACACTCTCAAAGAACTCTACTAGGTTAAGTGAGACTGGGCCTGCTCTTGCAGAAGCTATGCTGGTTCTGCTTCAGCGAGGCTTGTTCTTCTACATGCTTGGCTATGTTATCTTTAACAATGCTTTCCATCAGTTTTCCAGAGACAGCTAACTAGTCTGCCATTTCCAGCATCCATCCCTGGATCCCTTTTTCAAAATGGATGTTACATTGGCCATTCCACAGTCTTCAGTAGCTGGAATCACGGGAGGGGAGAGCACTCTTGTTCTTCGCTTGAGGGTTTCCCTTAGGCATCTGAAAGGCCACTGCAAGAACAGGATGCTGGATTAGATGGGTCATTAGCCTGATCCAGCAAGCTATTCTTATGTTCACCCACCGCTTCCAGTTTATGGGGCTGAACCACCGTGAAATCTGCTTTGTCTCCTCAATTCCAACAGCAAGAAGCCAAAGGCTTTAATTTGATCGAAGCTTTTCTCTCAGAGAAAATTTAAGCAACCTTGTGTACTCTTGTCTGCCTTAAAGGGCTATAGTTGGTTTTTTTTCTGTTTTATATATAATCCTTTATTTAGATAATCATTATAATTATTTGTTAGTTAACTTGGACTTTGGGAAGGAGGCGTGAGGCTCTGGCAGGCTCCTAGAGCCCTCCCACCTCCTTTCCAAGCTGGGAAAGTGCTAGCTAGGCTTTGGGAAGGATACGGGAGCTCTCTAGGACCATGTCAGAGCCCTTACAACCCTTCCCCTAGTGCCTTGCCTAGGGAAGGCAGTGTGAGGGCTGGGTGTCAAATGTTGTAGAGGACTGCCAAACAATGCCTGGAGGGCTGCATGCAGCCCACAGGCTGCGTGTCGGACCATCCTGTTCTAGACTTTACCTCGAACCTTGGTTTAGTTGCCTTCTAAAACTATAGTTTTGCTAACAGAAAACAATTAAGAGGAAGGGCCACAGCTGACTGCATTACAGGGGGCTGGACCAGATGACACTTGGGTTCCTTGCAACTCTACAATTCTATGATTCTATGACTGGTGGAGCACGTGGAGGTCCCAAGTGCAATCTCCAACATCGCCAGGTAAGGCTGGGAGAGATTCTTGCTTGAAACCCTGGAGAGACGCTGACAGTCAGCACCAACAATACTAAGCCAGATGGGCCTTTGACTGGGCTCAGTATAGCAGCTTCCGATGTCTTGTACCTTATCAGTTATGTAGAGTAAGTGAAAAGTGCAAAAAAATAAAAAATAACCCCAAACACGAATCAATGCCCGATTTGACATTGTCCCTTTACAGCAAATGCCTAGCATAATTTTCAAAGAAAATATGCCTTTTGTGCTAAAAATATCTTTTGTAAACAAGCTTTGATTGATTCCCAGTGTCAGGATGTGCATAGCTCCAGAGGGCCAGAACACATTTCCGCAGATGCTTGCTCACTTCCTTCCATCCAGCTTCTTGGAATGTAGCAGAGAGCTAAAAAAACCAGGCGCTCTTTTTGCAAGAATGAACGGCTCAGGTATGATCCAGACCCAAAACTCCGCAATCCAACGTGCAGAAGCACCAACATGCTTTTGTATACATGTCATTTTGTTCAAAAAGTGACACTTAAGAAATATAAAGATTCCTGCTTACATAGCAGCAGGACTTACAACTGGTATTTATTATAATATTTATAGACTCACAAAAACGTCGATAATATACGATTGTCTTTGCGCTACAACAGCCCTGGATAATTCCAGATTCCATTGCTCATGCCCCAAAGTAAATGGATTGTAGATTTCATCTTAAGAGCACAAACCACTGACAGTAGTAGTATAAATGCAATTGAAGCGGGGATGACTAACCGGATGATACTGGGCTGCAACTTTCATCATTGCTCCCTATTGACCATGTTGACTTGGGACTCTGACAACATCTGAAGGGCCACAGAACAGCCACACCTGAATTAAAGCAACAATCCTTGACATGTTTACCTGCAATAAATCCCAATGAGCAGGGAGACTTATTTCCACACACATAGTAAGTCACTGCACACTGGCTTAACACCTTGTTTTGACCACACTGAAGTTCTCAATTGCATAAGGACCTGAGAAGCTGCCTCAGTCCATCAAGCTCAGGAATGTCTTCTCTGATTGGCAGGAGATTTCCAGGGTTTCAGGCAGTTGTATTTCCCAGTCCGACCTGGAGGCACCAAGGACTGAGCCCGGATACTCTGCCACTGAGCTACGGTCCACCCCCAAATTGCAAGTGCAACAGAGTTTGGTCCAAGTTTTTATCAAAACTGGTAAATGTACTATATCTAATCTGATTACCAACTCTCCCATGGGGCGGGGGTAACACATGAGGGGGCAGGACACCTTATCACTCCTCACATTTATATTTTGATTGATGTATTGATGTGTATCTTCATTCTGTATGTTTACTAGAAATTAAGTCCTCCTGCATTTGCAAGATTGCTTCCAGGTGTATGTGCATAAGCTTGCTGTCTTAGACTGCATGCCAGTCCCCGTCCCCCCCACAAACAGAACATTCACTGAGCCAAAAACAGCCAATAAAGTCCAAGAAGGCAACAAGTGTTATGCCTTGGGCTATCCTTGAAATATTCAGGTTGATCCTTATATCAGGCGCAATCTTGTAGAGTGCATATTATAAATTACAAACAGGTCCGTTTTGCCAAAAAACCCCACCCCCCAACACTTATGATGTTTCTTAAACCACACAGAAAAACTGTTTTTCACACACATCTCCCTTGTTCCTTACCCACTTTCTGGCAAGGATCATTTCTCGAAACAAGCTCAGGCCATCTCCCTGACTGCCTTCCCTTTTCTGAAAGAGCTTCCTGTCTGTTTCCTAGTCTTTCCTATTACTTTTACTGTCTGTAGCCACAGAAATAACCCACCAGTTTCCTCCACCTGTTCAAGAAAATATGAAAGAAAAGAAGTAGGTGGGGGGAGGAGGGGGAAAGAGACTAAACGAGACTAAAAAAAGAATGGTCTACTAAGAATGGTCTCCAGGAAAAACTGTCTCAACATAGCCTTTGTTTGTCTAGTCCAAGCTGAAAAGGGTGGCATCCCGTGGGACTTACTCTATACTTTCTAAAGTTAACTTCCTGACTCAGACTAAACATTGTCCATGTTCACACGTAACAGTAACCCACAGTCACAGGTTATCCCAAAACCATGGTTTGCTGCTGGGTAGCTGATCCTGACTTGCCAAGTGAGTAACAAACCACAATACCTGGTTGAGACGTAATGTGAAGCCAAGGTTGTCAGAGGAGAAGCAAAATAGCATCTGGGGAGCCTGCACCGACACACTGCCCATTCACTTTGAACCCCGAAAAGCCAAGAAGTGTTGCTTAGCATTAGTTGTGGACTGCCTCTCTGGTTCCCCTTACAAACCACAGTTTCCAATCAGGAGTGAGCCTTGGGGAACATATCGTTCCTCTCTGGTGAAGATTTTGCTCCTCTTGCCTTTATTAAGAACATAAGAGGATCCTCCTGGATCTTCTGTTGTCCAAGCCTCTCTGTCTGGCCTTCAGACAGAACTCTTTCCATGCCACAAAGGTAAAAAGGTAACATTCACATTAGTTGCTCGGCATGTGTGGTTGCCACATCTGGAGGGCAAACCATTCTCCATTCTAACCAAACCTAAGAAGAGACAAGATGGCTCACTCATGCTTCCTTTCACCCTGCTAGTTCAGAACATCAAATGTCACTCTGACTTCAACATGTGTTGGATGTTTTATTCTGTCGGTCAACTGCTAGGCTGTCATCATTCCCCACCCAACCAAGCACAGTACCTATGCCAGAAGAGGCTAGCCTTTAGGCCCCAGATGTTGTTGGACTGCAACTCCCATCATTCCTAACCACTGGCCATGCTGGCTGGAGCTGATGGGCGCTGGAGTCCAACAGCACCTATTTTTATTCAAGTGGTTTACAAAAGGCAAGCTAAAATATTCACTAAAAGCATCGGTGAAAGCAAACATTGAAAACAAGTTACATAAAAATAATAAAATAAAACCAGTAATTTTGAAACAAATATGCTTACTAAAATCACATGTTACAATCACAGTCTAATGTTGCATACCTGGGTTGGTTTGCCGAAATGAGTAAGTAGTAGGTGCCGAAAACAATACAGCAAAAATGCCTTCTTAATACAGTGGTACCTCGGGTTAAGTACCAGAGGTTCTGGAGGTCCGTTCTTAACCTGAAACTGTTCTTAACCTGAAGCACCACTTTGGCTAATGGGGCCTCCTGCTGCTGCCACGTCGCCGGAGCACGATTTCTGTTCTTATTCTGAAGCAAAGTTCTTAACCTGAAGCACTATTTCTGGGTTAGCGGAGTCTGTAACCTGAAGCGTATGTAACCTGAGGTACCACTGTATTAGAATCATAGATCTGGAAGGGACCACAAGGGTCATCTAGTCCAAGCAATGCAGGAATCTTTTTGCCCAATATGGGGTTTGAACCCATGACACTAAGATTTAGAGTCTCGTGCTCTACCAACTGAGCTATCTGTTAAGATGTGTATGGAGTTCCAAATTTGGGTGTTGCCACACTAAGGGATCAAATGCTTGCAATCTAGAGGGCCCCCTGCCTATGCAGGGAGAAATTTTGAGCCATTCCCCAGAACTGCACAACAACACGCTGGGTAAATTTCTGTGTGTTGAATTTCTGTTGATTTCTGAGCGTCATTCTACCATTCAAGGTGATTAAAAAAACAGAAAGACTCCCCCCCAAGTACACCATGAAGAAAATAGGAACAATATTCTACAGCTATTGTTCCCGTTAGCTTCCTGAAATACTAATCTCAGCCAAGCCGGCAGACTACCAGGCCTAATGCTTCCTTCCCAGCATTCTTGCACAGAGCTGCCTACTGTGAAAAATCAAAAGGAAACATGTTACTAACTAAAGAAGGAACCAGAATAAAAGAACGCTTGGTATGTTGCACTCTTTTGAACTCCAAGGCATGGGACCAGCATTTCCTATTATGAAATGATTAAAAAAAGAACAGTTTCAGACCTTCAGGTGGCTTCAGTGGAATACACATAGGATACAAAACTCATTCTAAAAGTAGCACAGGTTCATTCTAAATACTCATTTCCCCTCTTCTCTTCGGCAAGCTGAAATACAGGTGGGGAGTGGCAGGGGTGCCAACCTGAATAAAATATTGTGGGGGCCCAAATAAGCCCCACCCCATATAATCAATCACAAGATGCAGTGCACACACACCATTTGAATGGGAATGCCCATTAACTTGGTGTGGGCCCAGCTCCCTCAAATATTTTATTGTGGGGGCCAAAGCCCCCACAGCCCCCAGGAGTTGGTTCCTATGATGGGTGGGGCTTCAGGAGACTCAGCTACCAACTTTTCTCAAATGAAGACATGATGTGACATAACTTGTTTTGAAAATGTTTCAGCTGAATTGATAATTGAACTCCTATACCAAATTTGCCAAGGGTTGCTTTTTGTTGGTAAAATAATATAACCCTGCGCCCCCGCCCAAGCAAATATGTGTGTAAATCTGGCATGACTTTACTTCTAAGAGTCCAAATGTTTGCTTCAAAAAACAAAACAAAACTATAAACTTGAAGTCTTTGTCTGTTTGTTTTAAAGAAAAAATGTTAACTTAAATCAGCAAGGTGGGTGTAGGAAGTAATGAGACTAAACAGGAAGGGGAGAGCTTGAAACAAGATAAAGCTGGACATAACATTTTGACTATTTGTATATTTGCTGCTTTGGAAGGGTGGGATACTTCTCAGGCTGATGAGTAGGGATGATCAAACCTGTTGATTTCAGTTTCTCCCCTATTTTTCATTTTTCCACTTTTAACGTCACTTCACCACATCAGTTTGCAATTTAAAAAAAAATCCTCAGGAAAACTGAGCAGCAAAAATCTCATTTTCACACAGGTGTGTGCAATCTTGTCTAATGTACACTTTTTATGATTTTTGTGTTGTTATTATTATTATTTCTTAAATTTCCATACCACCCTTTATCTGAGGATCACAAGACACTTTGCAACATAAAACACAAAAATACACAACGTAGTAACAAACAAAAAACAATACCCCATGCACACAGTTTAAAAGCAAAGCTATTTTCCCCAATATAATGCCTTTTTGTATGGGGTTTTCACTAACATGCAATTTCATGTACACCTTACCATAGTTATATGCATTTTTGCACACATTATATGGCTAGAGAACTGCACTGCAACATTCAGAGAAATGTGAATCGGCTGTGTTTCAATTTTTATATTGTTTCAGAAAGTATGAACTAGGGAGGCTTACTTTTAAATGAAAACTCTGTTGAGAATTCCTACCCATCTCCGTTGGTCAGATATCATTTGGAAGATTTTATCTGCTTAGGTCAGTGTTTCTCAAACCTTTTGAACTCAAGAGCTATGGAGACATTTCCTATCTTTGTAGAATGTGATGCTCAAGATCATGCCAGGCACTTTGACCTCCCATTGGTTCTGTTGCAACCCTCCCACAATGTGTTCTACATCAGTAGCTTGGGTGACAAATTTTCATAAGTAGGACCTGCAAAAAATGTTGCAGTGTGGCATATCTAGGATTCCAGCCAGCCCTGACTTTTTCTAAAATACTGCATTTCACACACACAAACAGAGAGATAGCGAGAGAGAGGAGGAGGAGGGAGAAAGGTTTTTGCAGTATGTACTGACAGGGACGCGGGTGGTGTTGTGGGTTAAACCACAGAGCCTAGGACTTGCCAATCATAAGGTTGGCGGTTCGAATCCCCGCAACGGGGTGAGCTCCCATTGCTCGGTTCCTGCTCCTTCCAACCTAGCAGTTTGAAAGCACGTCAAAGTGCAAGTAGATAAATAGGTACCGCTCCGGTGGGAAGGTAAACGGCATTTCCGTGCGCTGCTCTGGTTCGCCAGAAGTGGCTTAGTCGTGCTAGCCGCATGACCCGGAAGCTGTACACCAGCTCCCTCGGCCAATAAAGCGAGATGAGCGCCGCAAACCCAGAGTTAGCCACGACTGGACCTAATGGTCAGGGGTCCCTTTACCTTTACTGATCCACACTCTGAGAATGCATTTGTGATTAATATATAGGCCTATAGACATAAAGGCCAATGCACAATGCTGCGTCCTGATCTACACATCTGTTACCCATACATGTGGTTTTGAAGAATAAGGATCACATCTAGGCACACCATGGCCATAGGAACCTATTCAAAACATGACATCCAACTTTTAGATGTCAGGTTTGCTAGGAGAGAATGCTAGGGTGTTAGGGAAAGGTTGCTGCACTGCTGATTCCCCACGTCCCATAGATAGGGAATTAAATAGGGGGCTTCAGTTCAAAAACAGAGAAACACACATCACACTTGATTGTACACCACATAAACCAATAGATATAGTAATGTATTTCTGCGTCTCTGGGTTCTGTTCTGTTCTGTTCTCTGGGGGCCTCGAACTTTTAACAAGACTTGCAACTACAGCTCAAGAAAACCAATAACAATGAAGGAACCAGTAAGCAACAGTCAAATACTGGCTTTGAGAGAAATGCATATTACAGAAGTGAGTGGAATCCAGTTAGCACCCTTGCTCTCACACAGCAGGAGCATCTACTATCACCAGCGGCGTAGCGTGGGTTGTCAGCACCCGGGGCAAGGCAAGTAATTTGCGCCCCCAACCCCTAACCTGCCGCCGCTGCCAGCTTCTTCTTGCTGCTGCCTGGTCTGGTCTGGTGTGGTTCTCTCCCACGCTCAGCGCTGCGCTGGGCAGCCGCTGCACTGTCCCTCCCCCAGATAGTCCCTCGCTCTCTCTCCGCACCGCACGCCTGGCACCCACCCCCTCCACAGTGGGCGGCGACCCAGCGGCTCGGATCGGATTCGCACAGCCAGCAGTGCAGTGAGAGAGAGTGAGTGAGCCAGGTAGGGGCAGAGAGCTGCGAGTGCGAGCGCGCCCTCCCAGATGTTGTGCCCGGTGCGGCCGGCCCCCCTGCACCCCCCACGCTACGCCACTGACTATCACAGCTCCCTGGGCACCCCCAAAATCTGTTTGGGGGAGGTGAGTTGCAGGAAGGAAGGGGAACTGGCAAAAATTGCTTCCCTCCCGTGGGCAGAAGCCTCTGCTGGATCAAAAGGTCTTCCATCAGCAGGAAGGGGGAAATCCAAAAGGTTGTGCACACCTGCCTTAATAAGTAAAACAGCTACAGCCCTGGGATAATAATCTCTACTGACTTAATGCACAATACACAGTCACTGCCAGGGAAGCTTTCCTGAATCTCTGAATGTTCTTACTGATAGAATTACGAATTACAGACTGGAGCTATCCAACTAGCTATGTAACTTTGGGAGGGGAAATCAACAGGCAGACCAAACTTAGCAAGGGACGAACTTTGAAAGAGGATGCACACTCCAGAACAGGAAATAATGGTTTGTTATTGTTTTAATCCAAACTGTCTTAATTTCCTCCCTGCTCAATGCATTAAACCACTTAGCCTAAGGGGTGACGCAATCCTCCGATTCGAAATAACATCTGCCTACGATCTTATTTTTAACTAAATGAAAGGGGCATTAATTCCCAAGATTGGAGGCTAACTTTAAAAAAAAATAATTAAAAAACCTAATTCACATCACTCATTATTTCTGGAAATATTTGGGGGGGGGGGAGCGGTAAATGGAACATTCAGAAGTATACCATGCTTGACGTGGGACTGGCAATCTGGCAAAAGTGTCATAGATTTTTAACCCAACCAGTGTTGGATGATGCAATGAATATGTATTTTCCCCTCTGGCAGCTGTCTATAGTGTTGGTGACTCCTGCCATGCAGAGGCGGAAGGGAACACAAGGGTCAGCAAGACCAAATCCCTACGACGCAGAAATTTTCTGCCCAAGATGGGGCTTGAACTCACAATCCCAAGATGCAATGTAATGTAAGGCTCACCAAAGCCTTACTTTAGGGGTGACAGTCCCGATTTCTATGCTGGATGTGGACTGCCAGGTGGCCATGAGGGCAGAAGAACCTGCTTAATCAATCTAGGTAGTCCATCTAGCTACAGTGACCAGCAGCCACTCTCCAGGCAGGCCTTCAGACAGGATTTCGCCCCCAGTCCTACCAGGATATACAATAGCTAGAACCTGGGATCTTCTGCATGTAGAACATGTGCTGTGCCAATGGACTATGGATCCTTACCTGGGATCCATTGCATGGTGCCTGACAAGTGGCTCTGTTGACAGCATGTTACTTGCCCACAGAAACACCAGCATGGAAACCTCTAATTAAACACTCTGAATAATGAGGTTCCCATTCATAAGCAAACAAACACTCTCTCTGACCAAGTTCCATTTTGCATGGCTCCCCTGTGCTGAGCAACGTGGGTGGTTTTCCGCATGATGCATTAAGGCAGCCAGACTAGATTTTATTGGGCAGGGAATCTAGGCCATATCACAAATCTACTCTCTGTTGCAAGCAGTGCTAATCAAGTCATTAGGGTGGACCATTCAGTCTGTTTCCGGTCTGTGCATATTCATAAATCTGTTCCCT